GATGGCCTTCTTTACTTTGTGGGGACGGATGTAAGGAACCAACTCGCCGAGGTGTCGTAGGCTAAAGGAACCCCAAAAGCATGACCAAAATGACAAAGAGTTCATCGGATGGGACCAAGTCGAAGATTGAGTCCAAGACCGACTCTAGGACCGAGTTCGAGATAGAGTCCGGAAACGAGTTCGAGATAGAGTCCGGAAACGAGTTCGAGATAGAGTCCGGAAACGAGTCCGAGACCGACTCGGGGACCGAGTTCGAGACGAAGTCCGAGCTCGAGACCGAGTTCGAGACGGAGTCCGAGATCCGAAATCGGGTCCGAGACGGAGTCCGAGGTCGAGTCCGAGGTCGGGTCCGAGATCGAGTCCGAGATCGAGTCCGAGACTGAATCCGAAGTCGGATCCGAAATCGGGTCCGAGACCGAGCCAGAGACTAAGTCCAAATACTAATACGGGTCAAGGGGTGAAAGCCCAAAGCGTGCGTCTCCCAGGGGGGGGGGGGCTGCAGGGGGTTCCAAAAGTATAGTAGGGATAGTGAGGTTCAAGAACCAGTCTTGAAGGAACTCTCTAGTGGTGCTTCCAAACTGACTTGAGGTTGAGACTAGGGCCGAGGGGCCTTGGGTGGGAGTGAGCATGGGCTTGAGTGGTGCCGGAGGGGCCACCCAAGGAAGTGCTCAAGAGCAGCTCCCACTCCCGAAAGGGAAACTGACTGCGGTGCTCCCGGCTCATGTGGAGCGGTGCCCCACTTGAGTACCTTGTGGCTCATTAGTCCTTGCCCTTCCTAGGGGCTTGGGCCTTCCCTTTGGGATGGAAGTGGGGGGGTAGAGGTACCCATACTGGGCCGTTAGGCCACGGTGTTTCGCCCCGACGTCCCGAAGCAAGTGCTGCACCCAAGACTTGGGATTTAGAGGGTCCCATAATCAAGTCTTGTGGTCCCAAGGGGTGTTAGGAACTTAGAGGCTTGGTGTGCTTGGCTGCTTGTGCCTGCGGGGAGTGTAGCCAAACCTTAAGTCCAGTCTAACCCGAGGAGGGGGATTGGGAGAGATTTGGGAATCCGTAGATGGATGGCTAACACTCCGTTGCTCGTGCAGTGAGTAGCTGAAACCAAGTAGGACCAAGTAGGAGCTGGTACCATAGGCGGGAACCTTGGCGAGGGAACTTAGCACAAGCCAAGGCAGAGTTGGTCGGATAGACGAGGTAAGCTGGCAAATTGGAAAGGAAAAATTTGTGGCTTACAATTTGGTATTGGAGCCTCTTCCTCAGTTCTAGCGAAGGATAGAGGCGGATTGCTGGGAGATGGCAAGGGCAGGACATAAGCGAACCCAGGCAAAGACGGAACCTCCTCCAGAGCTGGAGCCTCCGGTCGAACAAAAGGCTATGGATGAGGAACCCTTGCATAAGGAGAACTCCAGTGAGGCAATTTCCAAACAGGAGTCTGATGGTGAGGTTCGGTTGTCCAAGGCTTGATTGGACATTCTAGAAGGACAATTGGCACAGACCAATGCCCTGCTGGAGACTCTCGTACACAAGCTAAAGCGTGATGAGAAGCGGAAGAAAAAGCGAAAGACTGTGGATGCTAGCAGCGCAGAAGGTGCGGACCCTTCGGCAGGGACTAAGGCAAAACCAGACAAGGTCGAATAGACCGAAGTGGAATTAATCCCTCAGGCAGTTCCCAAGTACAAACCAAAGCCCCCACTGGTTTTCAAGGGAGTGAACGACTATAATGTGGTGGAGGATTGGTTTTATGATATGGAGGACTACTTCCGAGCGTTGCGATTACCGAGCTCGGAGAAGGTCCCATGTGCAAAACCATACTTGGCAGATAATGCCAAGTCTTGGTGGAGAACAACAGAGGCCAACGAAGGACTGGTGGCCACATGGGAAATGATGAAGGTGAGGATCCGCGCAACTTACATTCCTCCGAATGCTACTCTGCATCTAAAGGATGAGCTGAGTAGGCTGAAGCAGACCGGAACCATTCAGGAGTATGTGAATGGGTTTATGGCAAAGAGGATACTTGTCACGGACATGGGGGATATAGATGCGTTCCATGCCTTCATATCAGGTTTGCAAACCTGGGCTCGCGGTGAAGTGATGCGGTGGAACCCGACTAACTACAAGGAAGCGTTGGATGCGGCCATCAAGGTGCATTTCAACGATAACCTGCGAAAGGGGAACACGACGAAGTCGGGATCCACGTTTAGCAAAGGGGCCAAACCAAGGGGAACATTTAGCAGAGGGAAATTCAAGAAGAGTTTCTCTAAGAATGAGTCCTCGAGGTTCCGGAAAGGCAAATCCGGTGGCCAGCGAGCGAGTACGTGGGGGAGTCAAGCGAAAAGAGACAAACCCACGGATAAGAAGGTCAAGTCATATAGCAGCGTGGGAAACAACGTATGCTACAACTGCGGTGAAGCGGGACACTTTTCGAGGGAATGTCCCTACCCGAAGAAGGCCAGAGCTAATATGGCCATCAAGTCGGGTGAAGTCCAAACTGAGATATGTGATCCAGTCCCTAACTCAAAGTTATTCATTACACGAGCAACTTTGGTAGAGAGTCGTTCGCGACATCTACTAGCCCTCCGAGGGAAGCTCGGAGGTAGCTTTGTTAAGATCTTTATTGACACGGGTGCTTTGGATAATTTTGTGGCTGCAGACATAGTCCGGCAAGCCGGACTAACGGTGCAGCGGCTAGGCGAACCAAGGACTATAGAGTTTGTTCAAGGTAGCCAAAGCACCAATGAGGTACTTCGACAAGCGAGAGTCGAAGTGGGAACTTGGAAGGTAGACATGGATTTCACTGTGTTGGACATGGCGGGGTTTGACGTGATCTTCGGAATGGATTGGTTCAATCGGTTCGTGGTAGCCTTGCATGGACAAGGTAGGAACCTTGTGGTACTGGCGAATGCCCAAGGAAGAAGATCTAGGGTGGAGGCCCAAGATCTAAAGGTAGGGCAAAGCAAGGCCAAAGATTCCTGCTTAAACCTGGTGTCCACGAGAGGACAACTCACTAAAGGAACTAAGGCAGCCTTTTTGTGCTTACTCTCGGTGAAGAGTGACAAAAAGACAGGAACGGAAGAAGTACCTTTAGTGATCCAGTAGGTGTTGGACCAATTCCAGGATACCATGCCGGAGGAGCTACCAGCGGGGCTGCCCCCAGCACGACCGATAGAACATAAGATTGAGCTGGTCGAGGGTGCTGAGGCGGT